GTGAGACACGTGAGACACGTGAGACACGTGAGACACGTGAGACACGTGAGACACGTGAGACACGTGAGACACGTGAGACACGTGAGACAGGTGAGGTAGATGAGGTAGATGAGGTAGATGAGGTAGATGAGGTAGATGAGGTAGATGAGGTAGATGAGGTAGATGAGGTAGATGACGATAGATGACAATAGATGAGATACATGAGATACATGAGATACATGAGATGCATGAGATACATGAGATACATGAGATACACGAGATACACGAGATACACGAGATACACGAGATACACGAGATACACGAGATACATGAGTACATGAGATAGGTGAGGTAGATGAGGTAGATGAGATAAATTGAACTCTCTCCTATTAAACACAACGCGTCGTACCAGCTCTCCAATTAAAGATATCTTCTTAAGTATTGTTTTGAATGAAATGCTGATGACGTCATTATTATTACTATTATTAGATCCGTGGTTAATGGCGGATACCTCAGTTCCTTTATGGGATATGTTACCTCTAGTCACCAGGTTAATATTCTATATCTATACTTTGCTTGTCTTTTTGTCTGTTTTGTTTGTTTGTTTGTACCCAACAAACGTCTAAAGGGGTGAACTGATCGGTCCCATGTTTTGTTTGTTACCTCACATAACCCCAGAGAAGGTTTATGGATGATTAAAATTTCAAAAATTAGCATCCAACAAATTTGGTTTTCATCACTTTTAAAGGACACAAAATTTTTTTTATAAAATCTGCGAACTTTTTTGTTTTTTTTTACAGTGTATGCAAAGAGAAAATGTTAAATTAAAAAAGAAGATAGCCTAATACATTAGATTTAATGAGAGGCGATTTATTGATTGATTTATCAGAAGAAAATTAATCATTATTTTTAAGTAACTATGGTAAATTGAATTGATTTTATTTGCCCCTGGTAAAACATGTATTTAAAAATTGAAATTATTATTCTGTATTTGAGACAAATAATATTTTGTTAATTTTTAATTAATGATTAATTTATAAGAGAGCATTTATCTGAAGAGGACCACGCCCATATTCTACAGAAGATGGTGGCAGGAAATATTGCATCAAGGGAGGTCATCATTGATAGCTTAGACAGGTAGAAGAGGACATTTTGGTCTAATTGGGGACACTTTTGGACCAATCGGGGACATTTTCAGTAAATTTGGTAACATATTTAGACACGCATTAGTACATTTTGGACAAGTTCGGGACACTGTTGGAAAAGTTGGGGACATTTTGGACTAATTGGAGATATTTCGGACACGTTGGTGACACTTTCGGACAAGCTGGGGACACTTAGGACAAATTGAGGTCATTTTTGACAAGTTAAAGACATTTTTGACAAGACAAAGACATTTTTGACAAGTTAGAAACATTTTAGAGAAGGTATAAAGACATTTTTGACAATTCACGGACTTTTAGTAAAGTTTAGGGACACTTATGGACAATTTGAAGACATATTGGACTAGTTTGAGACACTTTCGACAAGTTGCGGACATTTTGGACAAATTCGAAACACTTCAGCACAAGCCATTTTTGGACAGGCTGAGGACAAGTTTGGAAAAGTTGGGTATTTTTTCTGATAAGTTTTTGGAAAATTTTAGACAGATTTCCGTTTGGGACAGCTTTATACAGAGTGGGTACATAGTGACAACAAATTCGTCTTTTGCAAAGCAATATTATTAATTTGTTGACAAAATGTTATGTTTTCTAGGAATGATTACAACCACGTAACGGCAACCTACTTCCTGTTGGCAGAACGGAAGTTACGCTCCCAACGTCAAGATACGGCACGACGCGCTAGAACACAGAAGCGAGCTGTGCAGGCTGGTCAGAGCAAGAAAAATGAGGTACAGCTCTTAAATTTTGGTTTGGTTATAAAAGGAATAATCTATAATTAACAAAAGGCTGACTGTTATTTTACTTGACTTTCAGTTTAAAATTTAATGGAGCTTCTTGCAGATCTCATCTCGTATATCCCTCGTATGTATAATTATAATAGAATATGATAAACCCTACTGAAAGATTTTATGAACTTCAACATTTTACATTCCGGGTTTTTCGAACAATTTTCCTTGCAAAACATCTCTTTCAACTGTTTTGTATTTTTTGCAAAATTGAAAACTCTTTCAGTAACTTGTAACATTCTCTTAGCTTTCCTATAAAGCTGTACAAATTATTTATGAATACTAGTGTGCTAAAATAATTCTCAATGTTCTTTATGTTCAGGGTTCTCCTTCAGCAACTGTAGAATCCTTACTTTCCCCTCAAGAGAACAAGAAGTCTAACAATTCTGGTATATCAGCCCCTCGTCTTGGATATAGGTAATATTCTGGTATATCAGCCCCTCATCTTGGATATAGGTAATATTCTGGTATATCAGCCCCTCGTCTGGGATATAGGTAATATTCTGGTATATCAGCCCCTCGTCTTGGATATAGGTAATATTCTGGTATATCAGCCCCTCGTCTGGGATATAGGTAATATTCTGGTATATCAGCCCCTCGTCTTGGATATAGGTAATATTCTGGTATATCTGCCCTCGTCTTGGATTAAGGTAATATTCTGGTATATCAGCCCCTCATCTTGGAAATAGGTAATATTCTGGTATATCAGCCCCTCGTCTTGGATATAGTTAATATTCTGGTATATCAGCCCCTCGTCTTGGATATAGTTAATATTTTGTTATTTCAGCCCATTGTCTTGGATATAATGTAATATTCTGGTATATCAGCCCATCGTCTTAAATATTGGTAATATTCTGGTATATCAGCCCCTCGTCTTGGATATAGTTAATATTCTGGTTTATCAGCCCCTCGTCTTGGATATAATGTAATATTCTGGTATATCAGCCCCTCGTCTTGGATATATTTAATTCCCTTTAATTCTGGTATATCAGCCCCTTTGTATAGTTAATGTTTATTCAATATTCATTGTTTTCTGATTTCATCCCTTTCTATATTATCGTTTTATGTTATTAATATTATTTAAACTTATTTTCTCTCATCATCCTTTAATCCATATTTCTAGAACCACTTGTATGTTGTATAAAGGATTATCTGATTTATATAAGGTCTAAGCATCCTTAAACATTCTCACAAACTTTAGAATATGCTTAACATTTCTTTCATATTCTACACTATAGAGTCAGGGGTTAAAAATAAGATAAAAAATAAATCAGTGTGGTGGTTTGTGTTGTTTATACTGTGGCGTATTTGGACTGATGTAGCTTTCTTTAATTTTCAGTGCAATAAAAATGGAGTGAGAATGACAATAATAATGATAATATTATTTAAGGCCCCGGGTTCGTCAGTGCAGTATAGTAGAGGAGGAAGAGGACGAAGATGACCAGGAAGATGTTCTTCAGGTAGTACTTCGTCAAGATGTTATTAAAAACTGGCTTGGGAACCCAGCATGGCCCAGGGGAATCATATTTTGTCCCACCGTTTACCTGCCCCCTGTCGTAAATTACGATTTTAGCTATTTTTCCCGTTAAAAGTGGACCCAATCTACTTAGAATCTCAAAACCAAGATAAGAAAATTCCCGTGGGCCGCGGGTCTTCCGAGTTCCCCGATCAAAATTTTAGGCAAATTAGTCCAGGGGTTTCTGATTTATGAGCGTACAAACAAACAAACATACAGAGATTACAACTTTATATATTAAGATACAGTGAGAACCAAAAAACAGTGGTATTCGTCTTTTTATTCATTAATGTCGTTTGGGATTTTGTCGTAAGCAACTGATTTATTGCCTTGAATAATTTTAGAAATATTTATCAATTGCACCAGTTGCAAAATCCTTAATCTAGTTTTTAAAAGTAACAGGAAAACCGACAGTTCTCTGGCTCATACTGTAGTGTACACTGTACATACAAATATAAAACAAAACCTGATGAAAAACTGAAAGCACATGTTTATCTTAATTTTTAATCCATGTATGGCTCATAAATGGATTGAATAAAAAGATAAAAATGTGTTTTTTAATTTCAAGAATTTAAGATTTTAATGGTAATTAATAAATCTCTAATTTCAGGGTGGAATGCCGATCAAAGGATTATCCCGACACAGTTCGACCTCCAGCCTCGCGGATAAATCCTCCCCCAGCCTCCATCTAGACCTCACCCTTGCATTTGCTGCGCAACGACTTGAAGAATCTGCCAATATACCAACCCCAGCTCCTTTCCCACAATCTAGTCAAATAGGTAAATATTGGCAATATTTTTTGCGCTCCTTGGGATTTCTAAATAGTATAATGACAGAATAAACATGGTTTTTTACTATTAAAAACATTTTCCTTTCTATACAAGGCAGATAAAGAAATTTTTTATATACAAATTTGTGAAACAATGGACTATAATGATTTATTGTTTTAATTTCGGGATATGTTCTGAAATAGAAATGAACCGGCTGGGTGTAAAAAATTCTTCCTAAAACATCAAGTAATCACTATGAAAGTGAATTATAACTAATCAAACATCAACCGGAATGTTTTTAGTTTTTTTCAAGTTTAACCCTTAAATTATTTTATTTTGTTTAAAAATCCGTATAATAAAAGGGGTGGGGGAATGATTTTTTTTAACAAAAAATATACCTCACGCATCCCCTCTATGTTTGCATGTAGAGATATGCATTCAGTAGTTTCGTTCTTGGGTCTTTTTTGCTGAGATTTTCCTTCAGAGTCTGAATTCGGAATTGTGTAAAGAAAATTTAAAAATTAACTTTCTGAATAAACATTTTCTTTTTATTCACTAAATCAAATTTTGACCCTGACAGAGGAAATATGAAAAAAACGACCCCCAAAAATTATGCTTAAACGAACTGTTAGAACAATCGTTTTTTCATTTTTTATAGGATAAAGATATTTGGAAATTTCAAAGTTTTTATAATTTCTTTTAACGAACCAAAACGAATAACTACACTTTTTACAGGAACTGGTTTGAGCCGGCAAAACTCGCTGCGCCGGTCTGGAGAGAATACCAGCGGTAGTTCGCCAGGTAGATCTACACCAGGTACCAAGTACAAAACTGTTAAAACAAGGATTATTTAAATGTGCTCATTTTTTTCTAAAGATCAAGTGGTAAAAAGCCCAGAAAAATCTTCTTGGGCTTCGAATATTGTAGTTTTGTACAGTGTACACTGAGACAAACAAACTTGTGATTTATCATGATAATCCATTGAATGATTATTTGGTCAAATGATTTAAGTGTTTGACTTAATGATCAGTTGATTTGTTCCTTGTTTGATTGGTTGATTAATGGTTCGATTAACTGCTTAATGTTGACATAATGGATCCTTGATTAATTGTTTGATTACTTTATAGATTCATTGATTTTTGATATGTTTGTTAAGATATATAATATAAATAAATAAATAATATTGTGTTATGGTAAAGATTTATGGATTAATTGATTGATTTATTAATTATTAAATACCTAGGTTCTCCCGTGTCTCCGACGAACTCAACTACCAGTCCTGCGAGGAATTTTAACAATTTTTTATTCATTTCACCGAAAAATTATTAGTTATGATTTAGAAAAATCATTTACAAATCATTACCTTCGATGTATTACTATACCTGTCGCTTAAATTTTTTGCAAGGATATCGACTGATATATATATATATATTTATATATAATCAAAGCGTAATTTTTTAAAATCAAAAATTTGATTCCAAGCTTCAATACTGGAGATATTATTCTACTTTGTCAGACGACTAAAATCAAGCGACTGAGCGCAATATGAACGATTTCAGTATTTAAAAGCTTTGACCTTCCTAATTGTATAAACTGCTCCCAGGTTTAAACTTTCATCTAGCTCTGGTAGAAAGCTTACCAACGTCAGGTAATATTATTATTTTCTATTTGAATCACAAGAATCTTCGATCAATATTGTTAGAATTTTCCCCTGTTCTAACATAAACATAATAATTTTCTTCTTCACTTTAGATTAAATGCTTAAGTCCCTTCCTCCCCTCCCCCCCCCCCCACTCTTTCAGATTAAATTTTGTTTACGTCTTAAAATTTTTCAATTTTTATCAAAGGAAGCAAAACAAATTACAAATTTAATGTTGATAATTTTTTCTTTGTGCATCATTTAGATTTAAAAAATTTCAGATCGACGCCACAATTGGCGGTGCCGATACTAAACCAGATCCACGAGGAGAGCGAGGATGGCGGCGGTTCACCCGCTGATATTTCGGATAAACCAAGATTTACCGCCGTAAGTTCGCGACCCATCGATGTCCCTAAAAGTACGCCCGGTGTTCCCTTCGGCGCCCCATCTGGGGCTGCGGTTCTGCGGCGATTAGAGCAACGGCGCCGTCTTCATAAATCACGGACTGCGTCCTGTTCCAGTTCAGATGCAAGCGACGACGATTCCGAAAATAGGTAAAAGAAAAACAACATATCAGAAAGATGTTACGTTTAAGAATAAGATAAAGGATATTAAATAACGAGTTTTTTTTGAAAAATTAATACTTAATATTGCAAAGGAAAAAACGAGGCGGTCGCGGTGGTCTTCCTGGTCTTCGAGATAGCAACGATAGCGATAACCCGGACCAAGGAGAGGGAGGCAGTGCAGGGGTGAGTTGATTAGTCTTACGCTGTACAGTATACTGTATACTGTACACTGTCTGATCAGTGGGATATCATTAGTCTGTACGCTGTACAGTATAGTGTATACTGTACACTGTCTGATCAGTGGGATATCATTAGTCTGTACGCTGTACAGTATAGTGTATACTGTACACTGTCTGATCAGTGGGATATCATTAGTCTGTACGCTGTACAGTATAGTGTATACTGTACACTGTCTGATCAGTGGGATATCATTAGTCTGTNGATTTGTTAAGAGGGGGGTTTCAAGAAACTTAACAACTGTGTGTAGAAATTAATTTTTTGAGGGTTTCTCCACAAAATCTGATTTTATATCGGGAGGACATAAATTTTTACAATAAAACAAAGGCTATTCACATTGATCGTAACGATTCTTTAGGAGCTGGTAGTTTATAAGCTCTTTCGAGTCTTTCACTATTTTTTTTAATAACACTAAAGTTAAATGGAGTCACCGGCTATGTAAGGTAGTTGAACTGAGTATGCAGTGTTGTGGAAAACTCCTTTCGGATTCATTTGAGACATATTAAACTTTTTAAAGATCTGTAAATCCTGAGTTTGAGTGCAAATTTGACGTTTTCAGAATTAGTTTTTTAAATTATTAAATAACGACAACGAAAAATAAAGTAAAAATTATACAGTAATCTAATTGGATGGTTAACATATTTCTCAAAAGAAATTTGTCAATAAATCAAAGCTAAAAGCGATTATTTCAATTTCATTTTTTTATTGATTTTCTTATCTTCTCTGAATTTACTCGCCGATTTCTTTAAAGTCTTCAAATGTCGTCTTTTCAATAATAATTCTAGAAAATCTGCGAAAATCTTTGTAAATAATGAGAAACCAGAATAATGAGAAAATAGAAACTAATAATTAAACAAGATTACTTATTTTCGATGATAAGATTAATTTTTATTTTCTCAACATGTTCCTATACATGAAGTCTGTAGTTTATTTTTTTTTACAATTTAGGTCGTCGTCAGGATTTACAGATTTTTAAAAAGTTTAATAGGTCTCAAATGAATTCGAAAGGAGTTTTCCACAACACTGCATACTCAGTTCAAATACCTTGATATCCGGTCACTCCCTTTAAATCATTGTTTTTCATGTTAAATCTGACACAGTTTATGAAACGAAACTTGAAAACGGAAGTAGAATATTGAAAGATTTAAAATTTTGTGTTTGTCAATGTCTTTATTTTTTCAATATGTTTTGTTTTATATATGTACTGTATACTACAGTAAGAACCATATGAGCTGTAGAATGAGTGTATGTTTTCCTTTTACTTTTAAAAACTAAATTAAGAATTTTGCAACTGGTTCTATTGATAAATATTTCTACTATGACGGAATTAATCAGTTGCTTACGACATAATCCCAAACGACATAAATGAATAAAAAGACGAATTCCATTGTTTTTGGTTCTCACTGTATCTTAATATATAAAGTTGTAATCACTGTATATAAAGTTGTAATCTCTGTATGTTTGTTTGTTTGTACGCTCATAAATCAGAAACCCCTGAACTAATTTGCCTAAAATTTTGATCGGGGAACTCGGAAGACCAACGGGAATGTTCTTATCTTGGTTTTGAGACTCTAAGTTGAGGGGGTCCACTTTTAACGGAAAAAATAGCTAAAATCGTAAATCTTCATATTCATTTTTATGAAATGATTTTAGATTTTCTTCATCGGTTTCTATTTGTCAGGGCGGAAACTTTCCTAATGGTTCTGGTGGCGGAAGCCTGGGTGGAGGCGGAGGCAGCTCTGGCGGAGATGGGTGTAGTGGAGAGAGTGGGGGCGGATCCCTGGGCGGAGCTCGACATTATAGAATGCAGAGGAGTTCCGCCAGGGTTCGCCAGAGTTCAAGTCTGAACAGAATAAGGCGAGCTTTTTAAATGTTATTTTTAAAATATATTTTTATAAAACTTATGATCGATATCTTAAATATTTTTATTTGGAATAATTTTAGTGAGCTTCACGAGGCCGATTTTTCTTGTGAAAACCAAGAAACTGACACGCCCTCTGGGACTGCCACTCCCTCCGGAGCAGCCACGCCCTCCGGGACCGAAATAACCCCGGGGCAGCGACGGCTGGAGCAGCGTCGACAGTTTACGCCGCAGCTCTCTTCCGAAAGTGAGAGCGACCCAACACCTATTCCGGTACAAAGTTTTTAAATGAGAAATCGAATATTTTTTATCTATACTTATTTGCATTTCAAAGATATTTTATTGACATATTTTTGCGTACATTGGCTGTGTACTGTTTTATGTACTAAAAGTGTACTAATTATGTTCTCTATATGCGTAATTCTCAGTAATCTATGCACATACTTTTTATGTACTTTATGTGTACGAGGTGTATCTATTTAAGTATGCGAATGTACTGTATGACCTCTTCTTGCACTGTATAATGTACTGTATGACCTGTAGGTTGACCGGGCTGGGCCTGGTGATCTGGAGAAGGTTGAAGAGGAACAGACTGACACCGGAACTAACGGACCAACAAGCCTACAGGAACCAATATAAACCTTCAACAGAACTTGTAAATAATGAATATACATATTTTCTTCACTTGACGTTAGATTTTTTAAAATAGTGCTGCAATCGATTTAAAAATAGTTAATTTTCCTGAAATGTGTCTAAGGGGTCTAAGGGGCGAGATTTGTTAAGAAATAAACTGCAATTGATTCTGAGAGAAACACTGAAAAATTGTTCTTCAATTACCAAGGGTCCCTTTAAATTTATTTATTTAATAAAACCGTAACAATTTTTTCTCACAAAATAGGGAATCAAAGATTTAAAAAAAGGATGGTCTGGTGGAGGAGGTAATAAAAATGTCCCCCCACCCCCTCCTTGATTGATTGTATAATTAAGTTTATATGGTGGTAGGGTGAGGATGAAGAAGGTCGTCCTCCACAAGCTAACTGTGACCTCTTGACCCGGTACCTTGAGTCCTTGGGTACACGATCCATACGATCCAGAGACGACAGGTTTCATATTAAATAATAAAGGGACTGTTGACGGTATCTTCTTAGTAACGTTCAAGTAACAAGTGTTTTAAACTATTGGCTTTAGCGCAATTTTAGCCTATTTTATTTGCTTTTTCTTTCTTCTCCTTGTTGAAGTTTTCTTGTTTATTTTCATATAAAGAAATGTATAGATATGTAGAATGATTATCATAATTAAAAACTGAAGGTTTGATTACTATCTTGATATAGTTACCTAAAAATCACGTGGGCAGTACGATTTTTTGTGTGAAGAAATAGCGAAATTTTCAATTATCTATTTCACATGAATACTGAAAAGACTTATTTGATCATAAACATTTTCTAAAACAATTATCGGACAACTTTGGTTGGTTAAAATGGAAAATCGATAAACTAAGAAATTCTTTCAATCGGCTCTTTAATTTTCAATCGAATCGGAAGTATCGATCAATGCCATTTATACCTTTATTTAAGTTTTTTTTAATATTGTACAATTTGTTATTTACGTTTAATGAATTAATAATCCTACCTCATGGTTTCCAAAAATCAATTTGGAAAGCGTTCAGAAGGGCAATGTGCTTCATTACTTCCTAACATCAGCAACAACCATAAACAGAATTCACAAATGTAGACTGTAGGAAAATGTAATTTTTTATTTAAAATTTTTATTTTTTATATTAGTTTGAATTCCAGTGATAGCGAGTATACTGGAGGAGAAGACTCTGGAGAACTAAGAGAGGGAGGACGGAGAAGATCGAAGGTGAAATAGGAAATATTATTCTTAATGAAATGGTTAAAGGTGATTCGCGGGTGACGGATTTGGTGGTTTGTTGGAGGATTTGCAAGGGGTTGGATTTTTGGTTTGATGGATTTTTAGTTTTTAGTTTTGCAGGTACATGCAAATAAGGGGTTAGAGAATTTGTGGGTTATGGATGGAGAAAGATTTGTGTGTGGGTGGAAATGTGACGAAAATGGGGGATTTTCAATAAGTAGCTTGTTGTTTTTACCTTATTTCAAAACAAATTTTTAAATATGTTCAGGTGAATTTGCGTCAGCTGGAGGAGAGACTGAACATGATCCAGGAAGAATGCAATTACAGGAATAGTGATGAAAGTGATGATGAGAGGAGTGCAACTATTGATGAACCAAGTGACAGGTTCTTAAAGGGACTGTACACTTAATTTCAAGCGAACGTAAATGTTTAACTAATCACAACGGGACCCATTCAACCTTTGTGTGCTTTTAGAATTTAGAGTTATCGCCCTTTTTCTATCAAAAGATTGATTATTTTCAATTGTGGAAACTTAAAGTGACTTGCGGATTTGTACTTCTAGAAAGAAAGAAGATTCTTGTTAGAATACAACACTTTCCCAGCCATAAAAACCCCACTAACTTTTGAATTGTTGCTTTAATAAGGTTTAAACGGTGCTGTTGTGAATTCAACATGTTACTTTATAAGTGCTGAGTAAAGGTTACGTGTACAGTCCGTTCAATAATTTATATTTTGAACTCACTTTGGATTGGAATTTTAAAATTATACAGGGTCACAAAGAATTAAGCTTTAAACAGACAACTGTGCGTAATTAATGAAGTTTTTTTACATTATAATTATATTTACTTAAAGCTTTTTTTTTCTTTTTTTATCAACATCTTAATCAAATCACTTTAACTTACGGCTGTATACAATTCAACCTTCAGATCGGAAGGCTTTTTTACATTATAATTATATTTACTTAAAGCTTTTTTTTCTTTTTTTTCAACATCTTAATCAAATCACTTTAACTTAAGGCTGTATACAATTCAACCTTCAGATCGTTTTAGAACGCCATTAATGGCTCATTTTTTTCGTTAACTCTACAGTTGTGAGTCAAGACTCGTGCGTGAGCCGAATTGTGGCGCTTTGATGTTCATCAAATTCTGACCAGTAAACTTAATGTTATAAAAGAATTTATGTTAAACTCCTCGTAACGAGAGAATGAGTTTACTTCATATAATCGGTTTAGATCTATTAAAAAGATCTAAAATACGTTACAATATTTTATTCTATATAATAAAGCTTTTCGCTCTCATATACATATTTATATATATGTTAGCTATAGCTGGTCATAACGACTGGACCAAATAGGCTGAAATTGTTTAGGGAACCCCTGGGGGTATCAAAGGCTAAAAAAATCGTTTTTTTCCGAAAATTTGTTTTCAAGTGTATCTGAAATTCCCCGGGCAACGCCGGGCACTTAAGCTAGTCAACTTATAAATCTTAAACATTTTTATTTAATAGGAACGAAGATGTGGAGGCCATAGACAATGATGATAATGACAACCAGGACAATAATAACTGCTTCCAGGACAACAACAGCTACCAGGACAACACAACCAGCTTCCAGGACCACACCACCAGCTTCCAGGACCACACTACCAGCCACCAGGACCACACTACCAGCCACCAGGACAACCAGGGATACAACGGGTACAAGGAGAAGTATTACGACATACTGGACAATTTTGATTCTGTATTTTTACGGATTGAAGATCTTCTCAACTCAGATAAGAAGAATTGCGGCAGGAGCAGGAGTGAAGGTAGTTTTCACTTTTAATATATCTAATATACACTATACAGGGTTACCCACAAAAGATGATAATTCAGAGACGAATGTACAAAATTATATTAATTATATTAATTTTTTATCATTAAATAACCCATTTAAAGACTAAAATCGAGGAAGAAAACTTAATTTAACCTTAAAATTGTCAAATTTTAAGAGGTTTTGGTCGTCTTTATAGCCTCGTTCTTTGTGGGTAAACCTGTTCTTTATAAAAGATTATTGTTCTGTCGAAATGACCGAAGATTAGTTCAGAATTACTTCTAGATATTTCCTTGAAAGGAAGTGAACATCAGATATGAAATTTCGATGGGACGAAGCAATTTTTAATTTTATAGACGAAGCCAAATTTTCTTTGACAATTTTTGACGCTTTTCATATAAGATTTTAATTTGTTGTCAATGATTACTTAAAATTGTTCTTTATCCATAAAAATTGAAAAAAGTTTGATTCATGAAATGTCTGAAAATGTACAATTGTACATTTATTTTAAATAATTAAATAAAGAAATATGGTCAGTTTTTCTTCAACCCAGGTTGGGCGTATTCTGATACTGATGAAACACCTCGTATCAAGGATTTGATCCTCTACCCCCTGGACCAAATCAAGGTTGGGTTAAAGGAGGTTGAGGTTAACAGAGATGTATCCTTTACAACCTCACGAGGACGGCCTAGATCTGCTCCTCCGAGGCCCGGAGGAAAAACATTGCACAGGGCACATAGGTAGGGATCAATCTCACTAGCTTGGGATAGGTAGGGATCAATCTCACTAGCAGGGGATAGGTAGGGATTAATCTCACTAGCAGGGGATAGGTAGGGATTAATCTCACTAGCAGGGGATAGGTAGGGATCAATCTCACTAGCAGGGGATATGTAGGGATTAATCTCACTAGCAGGGGATAGGTAGGTATCAATCTCACTAGCAGGAGATATGTAGGGATTAATCTCACTAGCAGGAGATAGGTAGGGATTAATCACACTAGCAGGGGATAGGTAGGGATCAATCTCACTAGCAGGGGATAGGTAGGGATTAATCACACTAGCAGGGGATAGGCACTGGTAGGGTTTAATCTAAGTGTAGGAATAGCTTTCTAGTCTTTGTTTTACTAGCAGGGGATAGGTAGGGATTAATCTCACTAGCAGGGGATAGGTAGGGATTAATCACACTAGCAGGGGATAGGCACTGGTAGGGTTTAATCTAAGTGTAGGAATAGCTTTCTAGTCTTTGTTTTACTAGCAGGAGATAGGTAGGGATTAATCTCACTAGCAGGGGATAGGTAGAGATTAATCTCACTAGCAGGGGATAGGTAGGGATCAATCACACTAGCAGGGGATAGGTAGGGATTTATCACACTAGCAGGGGATATGTAGGGATTAATCTCACTAGCAGGGGATAGGTAGGGATTAATCTCACTAGCAGGGGATAGGTAGGGATTAATCACACTAGCAGGGGATAGGCACTGGTAGGGTTTAATCTAAGTGTAGGAATAGCTTTCTAGTCTTTGTTTTACTAGGATACGATTTCAATTAAACTTTTTAATCTTTCCGGCACCCGAAATCTTACAAAACTTTTTTTTAACCCTGAGAAAACGAATTAGCTGATATTATTGGAAACTTCAGTTCTATTTTTTATCATTTTTTTACTCCAAAATATTATGCATGATTTTCCTTCATTATTTTTTGTTAATTTTTTGATCAAATTTCGGCTTTAAGAATCTTGGTCCCCTGAGATAGTGAGGATGTTGCTCTTGATTTAAAATGTATGTATTTGCAGTTGTGGATCCCTGATGGTACGGAATAGGAAAGTTCCCGGATTCTGGAATATTCTGCAGCATGAGGTGAAACCTCTTCAAAACATCGGTAAGTTACATCGATCCATAGAAACACGGAAGTTACTTGTGGAGAAACTCTGACATCTTATGATAATCGATTATTTCATCGAGTTTAAGAATTCCATTATTACATTTTTATCCTCATAAGATTATTATTATATCATATTTGTGAGGTTCCATGGGCACATACCCAAGAAATTATATTAAAAAATAATTCTGGTTAAATCCGACTATTTTAAGTTGGAACAGTTCACATTATGAAAGGTTGCAAATAAGTTTTATGCTCTTGTTCTGACTAACGCTTTTTTTATTTTTCTAATGTTAAAAAAACATTTTAAAAGTAAAAATTGGTGTGATTGTTTCCTTAATTTAGTTAAGTTTAGTTTGTTTACCAATTCCTAATGATTTTGCTTGTTTGTCAAGTTATTGAGATACAGCATGTTAAATGTGCCCTGAGTTTTTTTAGATGGGGAGAAGGTATTGTATTGGGTTGTCTTAATCTACTGAACAATATCGTGTCTGTATTTATAGAAGAAATCATTTTCTGGATATTAGATCCTAAAACTTCCAAAAAGAGGAGATAAAATCAGGTTATCGAGTAAGAATTAGTTCGACATGAACTGATGAAGATCTTTGTCTTTTATTCATGAAGCAAGATTTACTGGTTTGTTTTCATTGCTATGGAGTGCTAAGACTCCATTAAAAATGTGACACTAATATTTCAATGATAAGTTTTTATACTTTTTTTGGTTTTGATTGTGGTTTCACTTCCTCATCTCGAACTATGTGAGATATGGTGACTCAGACTACTATACAAGTATGCAGAGATTTGCAAAATCTCACCGAACTTGGTTTGAATGAAAATGAACTGAAAAAAAATTAATAAAGTAGGCAGTCGGGCAGTATGCTTTAAGACTCGGCAGTTTGATGGAAGTGTCTAATGAAAGGCTAAAAGCATCGTCCATATTTTTGGGAATGGTCAGAAAATGTTAATTTCCACTCTTCTGTCAGGACTATGTAAAAGAAAAAGGTGAGTTTGCCCTGTGCATGTTGTCAGTACAAAATAATTAAGTTAATATCTGTACTTAAAAGATCAATACAAGGAGTGTGTAAGAATGAATATTCTTCAACTAGTGTAAGAATTTCCATTCTTTAATGCTTGGAGCGTGTAATAATTTCCATTCTTACACGGTCTGAGCGTTAAAGAATGAAAATTCTGCACCTTCAGTGTAATAATAAGCATTCTTAAGCGCAAGGAAGCGAGCAATATTAAAATTGTTCCTCCTGAACCGTGTAATAATGGGAATTCTTACATGATAGCTTTACTACTATGGAACCGAACAGATATGATATAATAGCTTTTCCTATTATCGAATTGTTAATCAGGCAGTGCCATCTTTGCATAGAGGACGTCACTAGACATTTCGCTAACAGTCCCTTTAATAGAGATAATTTGACATTTCGCTTACTGTTCCTTTAATAGAGATAACTTGACATTTCGCTGACAGTCCCTTTAATAGAGATAACTTGACATTTCGCTTATAGTCCCTTAAAAAGAGATAACTTGACATTTCGCTTACAGTCCCTTTAATAGAGATAACTTGACATTTCGCTAACAGTCCCTTTAATAGAGATAACTTGACATTTCGCTTAAGTCTCTAATTGAGATCAATTCCAATACTATTTTACTTTTTTAGATAATTGTAAATTTACCATGAAAGAGATGAGTTTAGCTTATTTTTCTCTTGAAGTAATTTTACTGATTTCTTGATTATTCCAAATCCTTATTTTGCCAGAAGTTCCATCAGCTCTTTTCTACCGCTAAAAACGTATTCACAACTCAAGCTACTTTCTTACATCTGTATACTAACATTTTATGGACTCCCATACAAGTTCCCTTTGAACCATAACTATTAATTATAAAGGATTAAAATTCACGGAGAAGAGACTTTTTTCCAAATCAAACCAAAATTCCAATTTGTTGCCCATCACTACTGATTTAAATCTATTTACAATAACCTCGGCATATTTCACCTGAGGTGATTGGTTGCAAATTTTCAGTGTTTAAATGTTGTTGCATTTCTAATGCATGCTTTAATATTAATATAATTTTTGGGCCAGATTTTCCTAGGTGAGATTCCTAGATGAATACCAACAGCAGCATATAAAAGTTTTTTTTGTCAAAGTGCATTTAAAAAAATGTATCTTAGGATCAAGCGGAAATGAACTGACCCTGACCTTATCAAGCGTAGCAGCCCCTCTCTCCCTCATCCAACTACAGGTAGTTAACTGCACATTGTAGATGCACTGTAAACTGTTCATGTAAACACTGTACATGAGCTGTACACTGTACTGTATACATGACGGCATAACGTCATTGTACTGCAGGGATGTTTATTTGTTTTGATAGTTGAGATTCATATTTTTGTGCCCCCCCCCCCCTTTCAACCATTAAAAACAGGCGTTTTTTAACAGGGTTAAGAAGTTTAACGAGAAAATATTTGGATTTTAGTTGTAAAATGGAGAGTTTTTGTGAACTATCAAGGTCAATAACCAGGTCCCCCCTGACAGTTTTTTTGAAATTCTTAATTTTTTTTAGTCATGAATGAATGTGAACACTGCACAGTATCAGATTAGCTTTTTATAGGGGGAAACATGACATTGCTATTTAGGGAAAAAATATTAAATTTTTCCTTTAAAAAGTTTTGCTTATTTTCCTGTGTGAACCAAGACTAGTAGATTAAAAAATGAATTCCTTATTTTTCCTTTTTCCTTTCCTCGTCCCTTTTCTGAAAAATGAAAAATATACACTCCTGATGAACTGACATAGATTTTCGAGTTATTTTAGTGAATTGTACATTTCTAGAAGAATTTCATAAGAAACCTTTCAATCTCCTCTGAAATCCAACTTTTTAGCACATACATCCCCTTTTCTTACCAATTTCACATTTTTATCTAAATGAATCTTGTAACAACAGAATATTGAAATTATCAAAAAATGCTCGGAAATTTATATTATTTTGATCGTTTCTATTCTGTTGGAGAATTAATTTTTCCGATTTATTTTAGGCTGGAGCTTCGAAGTGTTGCAATCTTTGCTAGATCCAGTCTTCCACCCCTCCACCATATTCTTAAACATGTAGTTTTTTTTTTTATTTCAAACCGATATTTTTCATTTAAGGTTCAAAAGTATTTTTAACCAGTGATAATTTTTAAGTATTCATAAAACACTCATTTTGAACCCTAGATGCTGAAAATAAACACGGGTATTTATTTTTCCTACACCTCCCCCTTTACTTTCTCTCCACAACCAGAACCCCCTCCCCCTCATAAATTTTCACTATCTTATCAGAGTTAGTTTTTTTTACTAGAACCCTAAACTTCCATTGTGTTTACTGTTTATATTGCAAATCAAAAAATTTAGTGAAATTTTTTATTTATTTTTTTTTTTTTGGGGGGGGGGGGGTTATTTAGAAAACATATTACCCTGGCCAAACTTTTCCCGTCAAATATTTTTTTTTGGGGGGGAGGGGGGGTAATTTAGAAAACATATTACCCTGGCCAAACTTTCAAATATTTTTGTTTATGTTCTTAATTCAGAATTTTCACATAGTCTGATTTTTTCCAATTTTTTGTGAATTCAATATATACTTTTAAAAAAATCACTATTTTTTCAAACTTTCAACAAAATAAGGATATTGACGACATTTCGAGATAAAAAAATATTTTTTAACTCATGCATAGTGCACATTAATTGGAAACTATAAACTTAGAATTCTCATATTCATTGGACATTCAGCCTGTTTATCATTATTATTTTTGCCTAGTTACCTTGTCAGAATTGTAAAAATCAAGTTTAAACAATAACTCATGTTTAATAATCTTTCATATTTGGGATTTTAGATAAAAATAATACTATACGTAGAGCTTAGAATAGACATGATAAATGGCCAAAGTGATCAGAGTTGTGGATCAATTTCTTTTTGTATTGATCAACATTTCTGATCTTTTATATTATAATTTTTTAGAATTAAGGAGTGTCGAACAAACATTTTCTATGTTTTTAAATAATGTTGGATTAAATGTTGGATTAAAACATGGAATATTCCATATTCAATTTAAGAACAAGATTTTTACAGAGTTTGAAATTTATGAATAACGAAAAGTAGTTGAACTATCTGGTTCAACTAACTCTCTCATACTCATAAATTACGACCACAAGATTTAATTTTTCTTTAGAATCTGCGTTTTTAGCGTATAATTTTGGTTGCCCGGTTTTTTTTGGTTAACCCATCATTTTTGTTGACAAAAGTCAAAACCCTTCAATCTCTAGATTATTTTTAAAATGTTAGTTTTTCGGGATTATTTTTTATGGAACCCGATGTGGACCTTAGTTTTTTAAAAGAGGTTTTTTCTGTTATTTTTGTTGTAATTCCTTTGTTCTCCAGACTCCTGGCATTATATGTTGAAATATTTATATGTAAATGATAAAAATCCACCTCAATTGACTTAAATATCATATTTGGCAGAATTTTTCATAGAACATTTTTATTGACCAATATTTGAATTTAATCTGTTTTAATATTTATAGCACACAATTACATGTCTTTAATATGAAACTTGTAATTTGTAAAAATATCCTTAAAAAGTCGTAAGTTTTTATTTAGCAAAATCCACTTATTTAAATTACATACATGTGTTTTTGAATTTATCCCAAGGTTTAAAGAAACAAATAACAAGAAGAGCAAATGCTTTTGCAAAAAATTTAAACATTCTAGGATTTTTTAAGGATATTAATTTGTAGATTTTAATGTCGTTATACATACATAAAGATATATTATATTTCATCCTGTGAAAATTGTAATACCCCTCCCCCATTTTCCCAGGCTCCTTCCAATCTGGTCTCATATCAATCATGTTTATTAGATCAAAACGAAACTGTTCTAGCCAAAAATAGATATTTAACCTTCTGTTCACAAATCTCCCTGTCCCTGGTTCAATATCCTAATCCCCGTCACTGACCCCTCTCTGTTATTTTCAGATTGATCTAGTCAAAAATGTCGCCATTTTGTTAAAGTTTGCGCCAATTTGCGCATTAAGCCGCTTTTTCTTCTCTGAAAGCGGACATTTTCCTCTGCTGCTAACAAACTTATACAACTACTGAAATGGATCCTGGACTAGATTTTGCCTCCCTGCTAGGGATTGCAGAACATGTATCGAAGGTAAGAAAGAGAAGGCCGCCCCTTTTACAAGAAAGAGACTGTTAATGCGGCCTGAAACGTCTGTGACGTCGCATCCTTTGTGTGAACCCTGCATCTCTGTATCCGCTGTTGGCCTGAGTTCTCCAATAGGGGGGGGGGGCTTCAGGTCTAAACTCCTATAGTTTGTTTGTATCCGCTTAGAACTCCAGGTATTGATGGTTGACTTATTGTCATCGCTTATGTTATTAAAACAGTACAGTTCAGAATATCTGCTGCTGCTGAAGTTTTACGAATCCAACAATAGGGCTAATCCAGAGAAATCCCACCACAAAGAGTAAGAAAGGGGGGTTAGAAAAGTTGCACCCGGAGACCCAATTAGTTCTAGGAAGGGATCCGGGAGTTGGGAATGTAGTAAAAAAAAATCTATTGATCATTAGATGCAATAAGAGACGAAAAAATATTGCAACAATTCAATTCATTTTGATTTAATTTCAATGTGTTTGTTTGGGTACCACAGCGTTTTAAGTAAGCCGAAGCTTGTCGAGTCCCTCATTTTTTTTAAATAGAGATACAACCTAGAGAAAATTAGTAAGCTAAAAACTTGATAAAAAACTGTTTGAAAATTGAAACCGGTTAAAAACTAAAGCGTTAAGCGGTAAAACACGATTTTTGTCTATACACTTAAAAGTGGTCTTATTTTCCACCCTGCCTTAAAGAATTCTTAGCCTTGTTTACAATCTTTGTTATTATTTTTATAAAACTGTTCCTATCTAGGGGAAGGCAGGGAAGGAGGTGCAGCTGATGAAGACCAAGTTTGCTGGACCGAAGAAGGAGAAGAGGGAGAAGGGGAAGCTGAATGATAATGTGAGAAAGTTCCTTGAGAAGAAGGATGAGGAGGAGAGGAGGATGAAGAAGGAGAAGAAGGAGCAGCTCAAGAACCTCCAGGAATTGAGAACAGATTCAGCTAGAAAGTAACCTTTTTTACTCGTATTAAAAATATCAATTTATCTTATTGTACATAGCTATAATTCAAGAATTGCCGCTCCCCCCCCCCCCTCAATACTATGGGGAGAACAAAACTTGAAATAGACCGTCTTTAGGAAAGGTTTTTTTCTCACTTTTTGAGTCTTATCCAAAATTAATTTTCACGTACTTCCAAAAAATAATTTTTATCTCTAATTCTGCAAATTAAACCCTAAAAAATACCTAACTTCTGCGGGGAAAGGAAAATATATATCCCTGTTCAAATGTCGAAAACATATCACCTTTTTATTATCGCAACCCACTGAAAACCTTTATTTTTAAGACGTGTGAAATATGATTTACACAACTATCCTTGAAATTTACTAATAATGATCTGAAATTGATTTTTCAAATGATTTATTTGATTTTAAGTCAGACAGTTAAGCCACATATAAAAAAATTTAAGGTTTTTTCATTTTTTATTATTTAAACTTCTAAGAGTCTTCTCCCAACTAAAATCTTTAATTCAGAACCTTCAGAATTCTAGCAATAATCCAATTAGAAAAAACTGGAACATGGCTAATCTAGATTTTGATTCTTTAACTGATTAAATACATTTTTAGTAAGATCGCGAAGCATCTGAAAGTAACGAAGTCTGCAAATAAAGCTGTGCTCAGGGATATTACACATTAAATTTAATATTTAATTCAATATTTAATTTAATATTTAATTCAATATTTGATTCAATATTTAATTCAATATTTAATTCAATATTTAATTCAATATTTAATTCAATATTTAATTTAATATTTAATTCAATATTTAATTCAATATTTAATTCAATATTTAATTCAACATTTAATTCAACATTTAATTCAATATTTAATTCAATATTTAATTCAATATTTAATTCAATATTTAAGTCAATATTTAATTCAATATTTAATTCAATATTTAATTCAATATTTAATTGCTTGCTTTATTTTAAATATTTATTAAAGGGTCTAAGCGTAATTTTTAGTGATCTTTCATGCAAAGATTGCAATGCTCGATTAGTAACGGTACACAAAAAAAAACATTTTTTCTGATCATTAACGTGGAAGAAATTGTAGTTTTTCTAGGTTTAAAACTGTTTCATTCTGATAATGCCTTTTGTATTCCCGCAGTAGAAATGCGCAAGTCACTTTTGTAGGGAACCCACAAAAGAAAATAATTAGTTTTCAAAATTATAAGCATTAATATCTAATTTGATGAATATCAGACAGAGCTTCTCATGGTAACGTTGTGAATGGGGAGTAACTTGGAAATACACTTATAGTCCCTTTGGTTTTGTTTGTTAAATAAAATAATTTATTTGCTTCGAGTTTAAAATCCATACTATAACAAGTCTGCACTTTTGTTGCATATTTAAGTGTTAATATCTAATTAGTGATGCCATAAATAAGAAAGATACTGCTGTTACTATGACAGGAAGGAAGCAGTGTGACGAAGATGATTATGGGTAAGACACAAAAGTTCCTTTGATTTTAAACCCCTTTTTCTTCTTTTTCTGATATTACAAACTTTATTTTATGTAAGTTTCGATTTAATGCTCAAAAATAACTTCCTAAAAAATCCTAATTTTGTTTGTTTTTTCCTCAGTATACAAATTTTGCACAGTTAAATAAAGGCAAACTTTTAGAGAAGACATTAGTTAAAAACCTCAAAGGTTTAGGTTTGGGTCTGGTGTATCGAATAAGCTGTATCCCATGTTTAGGTTTGAGTCTGGTGTATCGAATAAGCTGTATGAGAAGCTGATGGGAAAGTACGAATCGTGTCCAGATGATCCTATGGATAAATTCAGCAAGGGATGTTCAATTTAAAAATTAATCATTTATAGAAATCAATTTGTTCTTGAGCATTGAGCAATGAATGGAATTTCCAACCCATCGTAAGGCCTTTTTGCTGCGTATTGATATGTATTTACTTTTATCGGAAATTCCTTTACGAATTGAACCTGAATCCTTCAGTCCAAACCTAAATCCCACGTGGATATAAGTTCCGCTAAGGAGAGAGTTAAAATGGCGCTCAGACAGGAGACTGAGGATGTTCAAATCCGGTAATATATATAAGTTTGAGAAGCCAGCGTTGCCTAGGATATTCATCGTTAGTCCCGCTGTTTACCAGCGCTTGGTCGAAAATTACTCAACTTAGATTCTCAAAACCAAGCTAAGAACATTCCCGTGGTCCTACCTTGTTTCCCAATCAAAATCTGAGGAAAATCGGTCCAGGGTTTCCTGAGTTATGAAACAGACAAACAGAGATTACAACTTTATATATATAGATAAATTAGAAGTCTGTTTGTTTGTTTATATGTTCGATCATAACTTAGAAAAATTACAAAAAACTGTTTAATTTGTTATTTTCAAATTCTATAAAGTATTTATTAACCAGGTTTGAAAAATTAAAAAAGTTAAGAATAAATAGTTATTTATAATATATTTTTAATCTTAATATTTAGAACAAGAAAAAGAAAGCATGGTGGGAGCAGTATTGGTGCTGAAGAATCTGGAATCAGTTATAAACGGAATAAAGAGGAGAAGATTGAGGATAAAGGAAGAGAGGAGAAGGGGAAGGACGGGAAATTAAAAAAGAAGGATAAACTAGAAGCGATCAAAAGAAGAAAAGAAAATTATAAGAATGCACCTAAACCTATGGATTTTCAGGTAGAAAAATAGGTCTTATTGTTCTCTAATTTAATAGTTAAAGGTAGGCGTAATTTCCAGTGTGTGTAAAGTTTACCGTACCGAAGGTGTGTACTGTAGTGTAGGTATATACAGTACATACGAATCTCGAGATTTGTACAGTCTAGGAGAGTACATTTGTTTATTGTTTATTGTTTACTTAAAAATAAGTTTAATATGCATGTAGTATATTATTTATATATTTAAGTCAACACTATAAGCCAAATTTGTATGCAAAGGATATAACTTGATTAAAGTTTACAATCAATTTAGTCGTTATTCAAGCTTAATTATAATTGAAAACATTGTTCTGCAATTTCCTTGACTGTAATCATGTTGTGTGTCTGTACCAAAAGAGTGTGTGTAAAGTTTACCGTACTGGTCTGCAAAGCAGTGCGACTGGCTTTCTCATGCCAGACCAGCGCCATTTCCTTTTCCTTTATTCCTATTCCCTGGTCAATCCTTTTTTAGATAAGAATTCACTTAACATCTTTGTATGATCAAGAATGTTTTTAACTTAAAAAATGAACTCTTAAATTGTGGTTTTGACTTTTAAAGTGACTTGCGGATTTCCTCTTCACATCGTTGAGCAGAAAAATTTTAAGGGTATCTTTCAGACAGACAACTCTTTCTTCTAGACTGAGGATCACTTGTAATTGCATCTCCAGTCCCTTTAATTGATAATATATTTTGTTTTATAATTGACTCTCTCTATGTAAATGTAAATCCAACGGCAATCTTTATATTTACCCCTGTTTTCTTAATTAAAACTACTAAACCAATACATGTGTTAGACCTACAGTATGATTAATAAAGTATTTTTTTAATATCCAAAATTTACAAATAAGGTTTTTTTTATAATTTTTGGAATTTCGAAATTAAAAACATTGATTCAGGCGCTGTAAGAAATGTTAAATATTGTTGCAGTCTGATTTTTTTTGCAGGCACTGTTAGAAATGGCAAACACCGTGAAGGACAAGCCTGTAATGATCCCTAAGCTGAAGAAGGAAATCAAAAAAGAAGCTGAAATCGGAGACAGACCAATGACCAAGTAATGACCAATACAAACTCTTATTTTATGGGCCTTTCATGGAGTTTGAAAGAGGTCTTTGCACGAATTATAATTCAGGCATTATCTTTTCTTCGTCTGATGTTTATGAAAAGATTTTGTTTTGGGGGGTAAATCATAAGGTCGAAGCTTGAACGTATGTGAAGCAATCATCAAAAGTTTTAATTACATATTGGAAACTAATTTTAAGCTTTCAAGTAGTTTATCTGTAAAAAAATGACGTCAGGCTCGTATTTCTGCGTTTCATTGGCCGAGGGCCAATTTTTACCTTGGTTTGTTGATGGCAGTGGCACGCTTGATTACACGTCATTTTTAACATCAGGCCACCGCCCTCCCTTTAACAAGAGACGTCACTCACATCTATGTATTTGTTCAGAAAACAGAAAGAAGAATGGATAAAGGAGAACGAAAGAATGCTCAGACGTGAAGGAAAACTCCCACCAAAGGTTTTAAACTTCTAAAAAAATAATAATTTAGAATTTTTACAAAAGTTTTTGTTTTCAGGAATCTGCTGCCGCGTCTTATTCAAACAACAACAAACAATATTCGAAAGACTACAGAACAAAATCTGAGGATAGGCAAAAATCCGAGGAAAAAACTACATTGAAACCGCCAGTGAAAATCCGCAAACCTGAACCGGGACCTGAGCTCCATGTGGCGGTTAGAAAATCCCTGCCGCCGCCACGGCGGGAATCGCCGGCGGAACAACGAAGACCGGAGAATGGCCGACCGTATGATTCAAAGAAAAACGACGAGAAAGCCAAAATGCAAGAGGAATATAAACGGCTTCAGGTATATTATCATCTTAATGTTTATTTATACAAATATTGTTTAAATTATATTTCTTTCTCAAATGTTAAAGAAACCATAGACGTGATTTTATGTGATAAACTTTTTTTCCGAAGTATTTTCGTTTTATGCGTGACACGGATTTATGCACTTTTCCACATAGAAATCCGATCTACAACATCCTCTTAATTGTTATTCAGAGTAAAGGGTTAAAGGTTACTATTGTGAATCTGACCTGCCACTCTGTAAAAGAAGGGTCACTTGAAATTACGTCTACAGCACCCTTTAAGTCGGATTAGTTAAGCTTTTAGTCTAATTCTTGAATGTTTATTCACTTGATAATTTACTTTATTTGCAATATATACTAAATAATGTTTTTTTCTATAGATTTTAAATTTAAACAACTTTCTAAGGAAAAATGTAAAGAAATGGAGGAAAGAATGCGACTGCAGGAAGAACACAAGTAAGTACATGTAGTTCATGAGGAGGGAGGGGGCGGGGGGGGGGAGATCTATATTTTAAAAGATTTTTCTAATGGAATTATGGCTGTCTTGATGCTCAGTAAACTTTGTCTTGGTATTTTTTATATCATTGAGGAGATTATTTCGTTGGTAATAAAGTAGAATTCCAAGTTTCGAGGTCAGAATTAATAAATAGCTAGAAGAAACAAGTTTAATGGGTAGAGATAGTAAACATACTTCTCTAGTGCAGGGGTCCATATAGTTCCATCTAATACGATCCCAAATGTTGATTGATTAATATTAGGGGCAGAAATAAACCATGTTGTTATTGTAAACAATTGGAAGCATAATGTCAAGTTGTAGAAAAAATTCCATACTGCAGAATGTGAACTGCAAGGGAGTGTTTATTTTTCTGTATATCATAATTTGCATCCTATATTAATTACTGATATTTACATCTTTTAGCACCCCAAATTAAGTTACAAATCTTAACTTTTTTCTTGTGCTTTCAGGAAGTTGCAGGAAAAGGTTCGAGAAATGGAAGAAAAACTGGCGAAATCTTCATCTTCGTCCAAATCTGATTCTAGGTTGGTTGAAGTCTTAAATTCAAGTAAAGGGAATGTTGTCGTAAAGTACCTAATTTACAACGGTACCCTTGAAACCTGTGGAGAAGAACATCGTTTTAAGTTTTTAATTAGGATAATGTTTCTGAATCAAGAAATGCGAAACACATGACAAAAAACATCTTTAAAAACAAAAACATCCAAAATCATGACAAATGCATAAACAAACATTTCATAAAATTACCTATTTTAATCACTATAATTTCAGTACAGTTTTTGGACTTATATTTTCTCAGTATCTCGAAGGTTCTAGATCATATTTTTGATATCGCTTTTTCTCATGTACAGTGTACTCAGTGCAATTTTCTTGTTCTAGGTCTTCCTCTAGTAAGCCGGAGAAAAGGCACGGGGACCGGAAACGAGATGTTCACGAGGTCAAAGCGCGCGAGTTTCCGGGAGAAAAACGGAAGAAGGAAAAGGTTAGGAGGAAAACTAGCTTTTTATATATATACATAGAAAAGATGTCTTCAGCACATTATTTTTATTTTTTTGTGTATCAACATTATGTTTCATGCTGTACAATCTTCAGGATATTATATATTTTTTAAGTCATCATTGTTAAAACATCCTTCTTAAATGCAAGGTTAAAACACGGGGAGGGGGGGGGGG